GATGGGCACCTACACGCCGCCAGTAGTATGGTCACGGGAGGAGCCGTGTGCCGGCTCGCCACGCTTCGCCGGCTGGGCCCTGCTCTTCTCTCTCTCGCACTGCAGGTGCTGCCGCCAGCCAGTAGCCCCTTTGCCATGCGTGGTCGCTCTTCCTCTTCCCCACTGCTGGCTCCGGTCCGTGGGGCCTGTCGGCGGCGTCACACTCTTCTTCTTCTCTTCGCGCGTGGCGGTGGCGGCGCACCTCGGCGGCCGGATCTGGCTGGCGGCTCACCCTCTTCTCCTCTCCCGGAGGAGGAGGGTGGTGCACTTCGTCGAAGGAGGGAGGGGCTCCGCCAGAGATGTGGGGACGGCGGCCCGGGGCCATGATGACGCCTGCTTTCTCCTCCACCACTGGCGTCTTTGCTTATCTGGTAGCAGACGGGGAGAGGGAGAAGGGGAGGAGAGGAGGGAGAAGGGCGGTGGGGCCCACAGGGGCAAAATCGTCTTTTCACATGGCAGTTAACGGTTCACAGATGAAAAATCCAACGGAGTGTTGTATAAGGAATGAAAGTTGAACTCGGTGTCAAATAGGGAACGAAAATTTTTTAAGGGCCAAGAAAGGAACAGGTCATTTGTCTGGTGTATAAGGAATTATCTCTTTGAATTATGTATTTATTTGTGATTCATGAGATTTTACATATGTTTTATGCGTGCGGTTGTATGTCATGGGATTCCAGCACTCAACTAGTGTATATATACATATTCAAGATTCTGTGTAACTAAAAATGGCAGTATGCATTGGTATTAATTGACATAAGAGTCTCAATCAACACATCTCAAGTCACCGTAATTCAAGTGGTAGAAAAGGATATGCATGGAGTCCATAGATTATTGTATATAGATATACATGGTGCTTCAATCCAGGTTGTGTGAGTTGAATTGTGGTTTTTTGCTTGTAGATGAGCCCCGGCTGATCTTCTGAGAGGGCGTGCATGTCGTGTGGCAAGGCGGAAGCTTGCACGGTGGTGCTGCCTTGTCGGCACCTGTCCCTGTGCAGCGGGTGCGAGGCAGGCGTTGAGGCATGCCCTGTGTGTGGGATGATGAAGAACGCCACGGTCCACATTTTCCTCTCCATGACGTGATCGATTATTTCCCTAGATACATATGGTGCTTCAAAACAAGTTGTGAGTCGAATGTGGTTGTTGCTTGCAGGTAAGCCTCGACAGACTATCTAAGAGGGCATGCTGGTCTTGCGGCAAGGTGCAAGCTTGCATGCTGCTGCTACCGTGCCGTCACCTGTGCCTGTGCAATGGGTGCGAGGCCTCACGTGCAGGGTTGCAGCCCCGCGGGTGCGCTTGTTCGCCTGCCAGAGATAAAAAAAATTCTCTCATCTGTCTCGTGCTTTCAAAAGCATAGGTAAATTAACTGGTCTACTCATAGGGTAACAGGCCCCCGTGTGTGTGAGGATGGGACATGGGGTTCGGGAGTTTTCTCGACCTGCGTGAGAAGTCTCTTCTATCTTAAGCACAAAGTTGCAGGGACTGCCTGTAGGCCAGAGTTTTTTTTAAGGCATGCCCAATTTTCCTTTCGTGATGAGATGGATGCGGCTGTACAAAACTTATCGCTCGGAGATGGAATCAGACAGAAAAAGAACGGTGCAGACAAACTACGACAGATTATATCAGAGGGAATGGCGTTCACCATGGGCCACCTGCCGGCCTGCCTGAAGAAGTTCATTGTAAAGTTAGGCATTTATTAGGCTCAAAATTGTGATTGCCTTGTGGCGATCTAGTGAACTGCAACGACAAACAGGGGATGATGGGTTTCGCTTTGCTGGCCCTGCTGGGCTTCATGAAGATTGGGAAGTGAATATATATATAGTGTTGAACTACATGGAAGATTGTATTTTTGGAGTTAAGTCCATTTGACCCTCTGAATTTGTCTTCGAGTCTGAAAACCACCCTCCAACTCTAATATGAGAAATCATAAGTCCTCCGATTTTCAAAGCCGTGCAAAATATTCCTCTTGATTATTTCCAATTGGTTTCTCGTGTGGTTTTGGTTGAGGTGGCACCTGGCCCCCCACATGTTATCTGTATTTTTAGTGTCATCTTTTATCAAATATTTGAGCTTCTAAATGATTTTAAATGAAAAAAAATCAAAAAGAAGTTTTAGATCTCATCGTGCACTATACAACTTTGATATAGAACGGGCCTCCATTTGAGATCATTTGAAAACAAATAAAAAAGTTGAATTCCAAAATCTAATAATTTAAAACGAATATTTGGTTATCTAAATGATCTTAAATAAAAAGTTATCAACTATGAAGTCATATACTAGGTTGAGAACTACAGCTCTGGTAGATCATGTCAACATTTGAGAGGTGGTTTGAAAATTTCAAAACTTCAAGTTTCAAAATATAATAACTTAAAATAAATGTTTGCACATTTAAATGGTCTCAAATAAAAAGTTGTTGACTGTAAAGTTTATAGATCGTTTTCATGAATCATGAGAATCTATAGGATTTATTTGTTTCTAGGGTGTCCTATCTTGATTTTTTTATTGTAAGCCAGTACGTAGAAAACAAATAATACTAACGTTATTTATTTTATAAAGTTTTTACTTTTCCCATTGTATTTTAAAAGAATTTTAGGGGATGGAATTCTAATTGCTCCATCAGTCCTATAATATAAATGATTCATAGTTCAAATTTATACTAAAATAGAGTTATTCTAGGTCTTCAATCCTTTTCCTCTATCTGTTTTGGCAGGAAATGTTGATATTCTTTTTGAACTTAGCGTCACTCAGGACAACCAGCTTTGATTAAGGAAAATAACAGTTGAGGTACTCCCTCCATCCTAATTAGTGAGGGGCAAGATGGTCTTTTGTCAAGCTCTTTATTTTGTCTAAAAATCGTTTAGCACCATGTTCTTTAGCACTACTTCAGCAGTACTTTTCAACGAACGAACAATATTTTTCTCTCACAACAAATCAGCATAAGCAGCAGCATAAGCTAAATTTCAGCGAAAAACTTCCTTTGTCCTGTAATATAAGATATCAAGAGTTTAAAATTTATAGAAATTATCAGGGATTCTAGGTGAACAAACACTCCAAAAGACAACGTTTACACGCATACCTACCATTAATGTTCTAAAATTACTTGATACCTTATATTTCATGACGGATGGAGTATAATATAAGGGATACCTTATATTTCACATCAAGGCCGAGAGTAAAACTTCTAAAACGTTCAAAAAAACATCTTGGATATAACTACTAACAGAGGCCGAGAGTTAATTTAAACAGTTTTGGAGTTGAGGACGATAATTTGTCCGATTTTAGAGTTCGATGAGAAAAACTAAACTAGGATGATAGTTTGATAAGGCAAAAATGACATTTTTTTCTTTCAAAAAGCTTCCAACTTTGAACGGTTTTTTGTCTTTTTTTTTTGTGTGTGCCTGTGCGGGCTCGTCGTGCCAAATTGATGCAGCCCGTCGTTTACATGAACAGGACCTTGATTCTCGGAAAGCTTGCAGGGGTAGAGATGAAGGGCCCAAGAACAGCCGTTAGAATTAGAATTTGCGTCAGGTGTGACTGGACGAGAAGCGCAAATAGCTGGCTAGCAACATGCGCATGAACGCACACCATCCTGCATTCCTGCCACTGCCCAGATCTGGTGACCGAGGCCACCTCTTACTCCCTGCTCTTACGGGCGCCGGGCGTCACAACTCACAACGAAGAGGTCCGGCCGTCCTGGCCCCTGTCCTGGGGTTGGGGTTGGGGCACTGGATTGATGTGAATGATGGGCACGTTCTCCGCACATGGTGCGGCGGAGGCCCGGTTCGTTTGAACTTATCAGCCGGCTTATCAGCTAATCTACAGTGTTTTTCTCTCACAACAAAACAGCTTCAATCGTCTTATCAGCCGGCTTTAATACCAGCCGAACATGCCCTTGAGTTTTCTCTTCTTCTGCAAACTAAACTTGTGGTTTTGTTCTGTACTTCTGTGCACCAAGGGTGCTGTGCTGTCGTGCTGCACAGCCCGCCGTGGTCAGCAAAGAGCACGCGGACATGTGGCCAGCCCAAATGTTTCCAATCCAAAGATGCATGTGACAACAACCGTTCTGAACGCGCATAACGATAATCTAGGACCTCCAGTTGAAGCAAACATCATTCATTGAGAAAAGAGTTCCAAACTGGCGTCAGATTATATACTTTCTGCACATGATGTTTTTTTTTTCAGATCAGATATAATAAGCACAGTACTTGAAAACCAGAAGGAAGAAACCGCTGCGCCCTATGCAGCATGCACAACAAGCTTCAACTAATATATGGTCAGTGTTCATCTAGCCCTTGCACATGCACATTCAGAGAAGTCAAATAGTCAAGAAATCCTGTGCTGACAAGAAAAAATAACTTCAAAAAGGATGAATGAAGAATTGAGAAAGGATAAGCATTTAACCAAGGCAATATATCATCTGGGCAGAAAAAAACACCATATACTACTAAGTAAACACATATGCTCACCTGAATCGTGAATTCAGCAAATGCTTGAAAGACCAAGTCTATGACCACAACTCAAATAAAGATCCAAAGACGAAAAATGGTTCAGAGCATTAAAGCTAGTGAATTTGCCTAAACTCAACAAGGGTCATGCAGATACGCAAATGGCAATGCCGTTTATTCTCATTGGGATCATATATGTTTACATTGCAGGGCAAAGATAAGGGAACTTGACAAACTTTGGGTGAGATTATATGTACCAAAACCAAGAAGATAAGATAAACTTGGTGCACATCAAATTCTGTTAGCTGCACTCAGCGTGTGAGTGTGACTGTGCCAATGAGATGAGTCTTCATAATGAAAATGTGAGTTTTCCTGACATAACTTTAGATCATGTGTATGATGCAGTCTGAAATCTGAAATTTAGTAACAAATGCTACAGATACATGTGAGATTCCCGTTTTGCTATCCTGCCTCACTGCAAATGAGAAGAAAAGAATAGGCAAAAAATAATCACCCTTTATTCGAAGATCTTTTCGCCAGTTGAAAAGATTAAAAAAATGACAGAACTGAAAATACAAAGGTATGCTGGAACAAAGAAGACTGTTTTCCAGGTTTCCGAGTCTGTTAGATCCTTGTTAGAAGCCTTTGCCACCTCCAGAATATTCCCAGTGAGGCCGACACCAACAATTCCAGCCAGTGTCCCTGCCGTATTTGAGACCCCCATTACTATCCCTGCAAACTTCGGAGCAACATCCATATGGTTTACAGCAAACCCTGCTCTTCCTAGAGCAAGAAAACCAAGGGATATCGCTGAACACATTACAGTGCCCGAGGGTGTGCTAAATAAAGGAAGGACCATGAGTGCAAATGCTGAGACAATGAACCCTATGGTGTTCAGAAGCTTCCTTGTCTTGGTAACAGACAAAATCCTCCTTGTAATCAAGTGATCAGCAATCACACCACCAATATTGGAGAAAATGAACATATTGAAATAGGGAAGCATCTTTGAGGAACCCATATCCTGGAGGCTAAGCTTAAGTCCAAGCTCAAAATAGGTAGGGAGCCAGTTCATAAGAACATACAGGGCATAGTGGAAGGTGAAGTTGTTTACAACGATTGCCCAGACAGGTAGACTGAATATTATCCTTCGCCATGGGATCTTTACTGTTCGAGGTGCGACAACCCCTCCTGCCTGTGCCTTAATCATGTCTCGAGATGCCACTTTTGGCATTGATACCTTTGGAAGATCAGCACGAGGTGGGTCACTGGAAAATTTCAACCATATTACAGACCATGCTACTCCCAACACTGCTTCAACAAAGAAAACTGACTGGGGTCCCGTGTGCTTCACTAGACTTGGGAAGAAAAGCATGCCACAGGCTGCACCAAGATACATCCCTGAGGTAGTGAGAGATACCGAGCGAGAGCGCTCCTGTGGTGGCACCCACTGCGCCAGAACAGTGTGAATGGCAGGAAATATGAAACCTTGTGCTACACCAACAAATAGGCGAGATAGGACCAGAATGGTTACTCTGTTGGGATCGAGTGGAATTAAACCACATATCATAGACCACAACATGAATGACAGTAGCAGAACACGTCTGCCTCCTATTCTCTGTGCTGCCCATCCACCAGGAATCTGTGATAAAATATAACCATAATAGAACATAGACAGTATCATGCCCTTGTTGGCTTGATTCACACCGATGGCATCAGCTGCGACAGTGTAAGCAATTGAGAAACCCACGCGCTCAATGTAGCAAACATTTGTGCAGATGAATGTCAGCAATACTATGAGATAACGTTTCGGGAACCTCATTCTCACCATCGATGATCTGAGATGAAGCACTATTTTTTTACTAGTCTTAGTCAGGCCAGAACTTGCTGACCTCCCATGAATATTCACCAGGATTTACCATAAGCCTGATTCTCTTCCGTCCATCTCATAGGATACTACAATCTGTAAGTGTACAAATTACTGATCATTGGTTCTTCACATGTCCTTATCAGTTAACTGATCTCAAACACAAATTGACAGAGACAATCTTGATATGCTGCACTGAACTAAAAAGCCCTGCCCAAAAACAACAAACGAGCAACATTTAGAACTCCAAATGGATACTTCAATTTAGCTGACCAACTAAAAGAATAGCCGAAATTATGCACAAGATTTGAGCATGATTGATGTTTTTTAAAAGGGTGATCTAAAGGCATATAAAACCTTTCACAACCTCTACAACCCAGAGATTCCGGGGAGGAAACAACAAGAATTGGATAAGTAAACTTGGATTTTGGATTATAGAGGAAAAACAAATGTTGTTCCAGGAAATGACTGAACACGCCAGTCTACAAGTCTACACTTTGGGAGCCAGATCTTGCTAAAATCCAAGTAGTGAGAAGCAAGCTTTTGCTATAAGATATTACAAACCTTGGCCAGAGAAAATGACCTGCCACTTGCACTGTCTGAGCTAGATCTTACTCGGATTCCAATCCAATTTCCAAGTGCTAGCTTTTTGCTTGCAAGATACTAGAAATCAAATGCTCAGAGCTCGAATTAACTTGGCCTCAAGCTCGAATCCAGGAGCGGACCCAGTAAAGGATATGGGTCCAATAATTTCTGCAAAAAAAGGGGGAAAATGAGTTTTTAGGCATAACACACTTGTAATTGGATCAGATCAGATCCGAGTACAAATAGCTTTCAGCTAGGGTATGGGTGCTCGGTTTCGCACAGCAGGGACGAACGAGTGGAGGTGAGCGCACCTGGTGGGTGCTCGTCGCCGCCGCAGCCCAGAAGATGGAGACCTGGGCACCTGGCGTAGGGGCGGCCGCGCAGTCGTCGCCACTAGAGACAGAGAGCGGGGCACGGGAGAACCAGGAGAGAACCTGAGAGAGTGTGCGTCGTGCGGAGACGCGGGGCCGCGGGGATGGTGGGAGAACAAAATTCAGGGCCGTGGATTTGTTTAACCATTTTATTTAAAATTATAAACCTAGGAGACAAAATTTATATGATATCTAAGGGCTTTAGTACTAAAAATTAGCACCATGTTTAAACGCTAATTAGAAGGACTAAACGTGAACTAAGTTCAAAACTAATTACATAAGCGGTGACTAATTAGCGAGACTATTAATCCTAATTAGGTCATGATTAGCTTAGCCCTTGTTTAGTTACTCCCAAACTCCCAATTTTGATACTATGTAAAAAGAAGATTCTCCATCACATCAAACTTGCGGTACGTGCATGGAATACTAAAAGTAGACGAAATTAAAAATTAATTGCACAATTTGGTTGTACTTTTTTGAGATTTAACATTTTGAGCCTAATTAGTCAACGGTTGGACAATTATTACCAAATACAAACGAAATGCTACAGTAGGGAATCTGACACTATGCAAACTTTGCACGTTCAAATTCCGGCCAACTAAACGCGCCCTTACATGGTGCTATAGTAAACATAGTCTAATATGAACCGACGACTCGTCCTCTTTCTCGTGACTGCCCTAGCGCCGTCGCCGCCGCCCTGCCTTCCACCATCAGTGGTCCCCCTCGCTTCCTCCTCTGGCATCTCGCTGAAGGCAGGAGGGAGTTGGGATCCATTGTTTTTAATAAGTTTTCTAATAGATGGAGTCCTTAGGGTTAGGGTCTCTTTATGCCAAGTTTCTTGGTATTGGGGATTTATCTCTTCTCCGGCGATGGCGAGGGGGCAGGGTGCAATCGTTTTTTTTCCTTGGCGGCTCCGTTGAAGATGAGGGCAGCAACTACGGCGTCAGTAACTTCATCAGCATGTCGACATGGAGACTTTTCCTTTCGGACGACGACAATAAGGCAGAGATGATGTTGCCGCCGTAGAATAATTTTCTCCGGTCTCTTCCCGCAAATTTACCAATTATGAGTTGGACGCTTTAACCATTCAGCCATCTCCGTTTTGTTGTGGTTAGATTGCCACGATGAGGGAGAATAAGTTTTATATCAGTCTTCCTTATTCTTCGGTGGTAGAAAGAAGAAGAAGGAAGACACAAGAAAGAAGTTTCTCAACTTCGCCTACAGGAATGTTGGCCATCGTTCGTTGGGTATCTGTTCTCAAGCCTTTTGCTGAGTGTTTGCTTGTGCGGCCATCCATACGAAGCGTCATAAAAGTTTGGTTTTCAGATTTGAAGCTATTCACAACGTGAGTGCAATTTAGATGGCAACTTAGATGAAATTCATTTTTTGGATATATGTAATGTATTCCAGAGTACTTGTAACGTGTTGATGTATCCAGCTATTATCTAGTATAATTCTTCTTTCGTCGAAAAAAAATATAGGCTAATCAAGGGCTAATTATGATTAATAGATTTGCCTCGTCAATTAGTCACCGTTTATGTAATTAATTTTAAAATTAATTCACGTTTAGTCCTTCTAATCTCCTACAACTAAAAAGACTAAAAGTAAGACTATTTTTTGGGTCGCTCATCCCTTCCGGCCATACGATACCCCGCACGATAGAAAAAGAAACTGCCATCCCTGTAATCTCCACCTGCTTTGAAAGAAACAAATCGATCACCTGAGACCACATGCATGGAAGGAAACAATAATCATGTATAAAAGAAAATAATTGGCAAAGATCAAGCAAGACTCCTCCCTTCCGGCCATGCGATACCCGACGCGATAGAAAAAGAAACTGTCATCCCTGCAATCCCCGCCTGCTTTGAAGGAAACAAATCGATCACCTGAGGCCACATGCATGGAAGAAAACAATAATCATGCATCGAAGAAAACAATTGTCAAAGATCAAGCAAGACGACTCAATGAGGTTGGCCCTTAATTTTAGTGTTTCCAGCATGCAGACCTGAAATTAAAAAGTGGCTGCTCCTTGAGAACATCAGTGATGCCAAATAAAAGATGTGCAGGTTATACATGGTGAGACTGGTGAACCTTCTGTAATTTTCTAAACGAATATTCCTACCATTCGTATATAGGTTCATTCCTCTGCGTTTCTTTGTGCTCCAATTAGCATATAATATGAAAGTATTGTTGTGTTCATCACGACTTCTAGTTGACTATTCCCATTAGCATATACTTCCTCTGCCCCAAAATATAAGTCGTTATGGGATGTGTGTATGTCAAACTTTCTCAACTTTGACTACGTTCGTAAAAAATACATGCAACATTTAACAATCAATTGGTCGACTCCTGAGGCCACATGCATGTAAAAAATAATTGTATTATAATTGGTCGAAGTTAAAAAAAATTTGACTTATCGGGAAGCGAGAATGAATTCTATTTTGGGACAGAGGGAGTATATGAAATCAGTGTTGAAAATATTTTAACAATCAAGTTCGTCTCTGTCTGATTGGTAAGTTTAGACATCAAAAATTTCGACTCTCATGGACACCCTTATGGATCAGTGTAAAACATCCCAATCCTACAGCATACACAAATGGTAACCTTAAAGACCATCTTAGACGTTCTGGCATTAGAGTATATACGTGCAGACATATAGACATGGTGGTGCAAGTGAGAAGCCAGCAGGAGTCGAGAGTTAGGGGGTGTTTGGATCCTAGGACTAAACTTTAGTCCCTGTCACATTGAATTTTTAGATATCAATTAGGAGGACTAAACGTGAGCTAATTATAAAACTAATTACATAAGTTGTGGCTAATTCGCTTGTCAGCGCCGTGTACAAGATGGTATAGAGATGTGGTGGAACTTATTCATGGATTTATTGGCGCACGAAAGAAATGGATATCGGAAATCTCTTCCTGTCGGTATAAAAAATGATCTTAGCCGCATCATGGAAAGATCTACACAGTAGAGTTTGTGAGCTTGCGACGCCATGCTCTCTGTGACTGTGTAAATTTCATAAACTTAGTTTTTTGGATTAAATGTCACTTTAACGTCGGTCATATACTTTTACAGTATTTTTACAGTATTGTTATCTTATCGTGCGATCCGTGTGTTTTTAGTACAAAAGTTTAGCTGTCCCGTAGCAATGCACGGGCACGAACCTATTTACATATATACTCGAACCTGTGTGTACATGATTATACGGAGATGCAGTGGAACTTATTCATGGATTTATTGACGCACGAAAGAAATGGATATCGTAGAATTCTTTCTGCCGATATAAAATATTATCTTAGCCGTATCACGAAAAAGTCTATACAGTAGAGTTTGTGAGCCTGCGACGTCGCACTCTCCGTGACTGTATTAATTTCACGAACTTTGCTTTTTGAATTAAATGTCACTTTGACGTCGGTATTTAATTTAACAGTATTGATATCTTATCGTGCGATCTGTATGTTTTTAGTACAAAAAATTTAGTTATTCGTAGCAACGCACGAGCACACTACCTAGTTAATATCTAAACATAGTGCTAATTTTTAGCAGCTGGGATCAAACAGGCGCCGGCGAGCCCCTGCAGTAGCGGGCGAGCAGCTCTGCCGGACGGGAAGAATAGCGGTCCTTTGTGCTCGTGCCAATCAAAACTGAATTTGAGGATTTGATGGTTGCTGCTGGAGTAGTTGGAAAAAAAATCAGATCTTAAAAAATGAGTGGAGCTCTGAAATTATAAGTGGAACATGATTTGAGGGCTTTTGTTGGAGTTTCTCTAAAACATCTTCATATATAAACAACAATGTTATAACACAACTAGACAACTATTCGGAAATGCGATCCACAATGTCAATTAAAAAGAAAGAAAAATAGAGGTGAATCCTAATCTTCATCGGTGATAAAAAAAATCTATATCTCTTGGTTCGTATTGGTGATTTAGAGACGTCACAGACACGCACCATGTTCGTTTGTTTGGTTTCAGCCAGGCTTATTCAACCAACCAACAGTGTTTTACTCTCACAGCAAATCAGCACCAGCTAGCCCAAACCAGTTCAGAAACCAACCAACGAACACGCCGACGGAAATTCGTATATATGAGGAAGTGAGAAGGAATGTCAGAATACTATATTTATTTATAGTAGGTGTCGACCAATTACTTATACCGTATGTTTTGCTCCCAAAACGACCAAGAGAATTTTAGAATCAATATTTATAACAGTGTTAGACCTAGCGCAACTTGCATTATACTACATGTGGAGCTAAAGTTCTACGTACTTAGTTGTTTACCAAAATCATGCTTTCTAGGACATGTATCAATTATTCGACCGACGCCGGCCTAAGGATTTATAGCCATTCTAGTTAATATTATTTACATGTTGTTGGCCACTATCGTTTTCAGTAACAGAAGAAAATCAATGCGAACCCGTCATCCTACATACATTAATATGCCCAAGCTACATTATGACCAAAAAACTTAGATAAAGATAGACAATATACCAATGGTGATAATGTTTCTTAATCTCTCCCGCAAAGCCTTCTCAATTCATCCGTTTTCGAAATAAAAACGAACTGGCATGATGGAATGCTTCAAGTTGATTATAACTGTCCTACATAACAAGATGTAATTGGTGGATGGTGCTCACCGAGGAAGACCAAAAGGCACTAAAAAACCATTGCTACATATATCAATAATCTCGTAGGTCGTCTCATACAAAATCATGTAGAATGTTATGATGTAGAGAGAAGAAAGCTGAGAAAGTCGTCGTCGTTCGCCCTGTTCACTTGTTAGTTTTAGTCAGGGCTTATCAGCCATAGTACAGTGTTTTTCTCTCACAACAAACCAGCAGCAGCGGGCTTATCAGCCCAGAAACCAACCAACGAACAGGCTGGTTGTGTGAAACAATCGCCTCACACTCTAAAATCTAGTTTACAATTGGTTGAGCGGTTCACGGGGATGAGAAAGGCTACCCTAAAACCAGCGTTTGGATTAGAGTCACATCACAAAAGATAGAAACGTCACTCAGCCCTTGTTTAGTTGGACCCCAAAATCCAAAAAGTTGCTACAGTATCTGTCACATCGAATGTTTGCGGCCCGTGCATGGAGCATTAAATGTAGACGAAAAGACAAACTAATTGCACAGTTTGGTGAGAAATTACGAGACGAACGTTTTAAGCCTAATTAGTCAATGTTTGGACACTATTTGCCAAATAAAAACGAACGTGCTACAGTAGCCCCAAAATTCAAATTTCGCGAACTAAATAAGGGCTCAATAAAAATGTTCGTCAAAGATTTGGGACGAGCCTATCCCTCCAAAACGAGGAGAGGAGATAGACTCGTCTTCAGGTGTCCACGAGCAGAGCTTCGACACAGGGTGACAGGAAGGCAGCACTAGACCCAGAGTGGGGGAGGGCCATAGCTCTGTTGAAAAGGGCGGGGCAAAGCTCTTCCTCTCCTACAACTAGCGAAGGTGTTATAGCGTGAGGAAGCGCGACGCTTGGCCAAGTTCATGGCAGCAAAGCCCCTCACTCCAGCCACGCTCCTCACCTTGCAGTACCCGGCTAGCGAGGCGGCTCGGAGCAGATCAGCCATGCTCCTCACCGTAGGGTGAGGGGTGATGCACGCGGGGCAGACCGTAGAGAGGATGCACATGCACTAGAGTGGCTCACGGTTTTGGTCCACTACTGATAGGTCAGTCCCATTTGAACCGATCACCCCAACCAAACAATGAACAGAGGCAAATCTATCCCTCTCAACCAAGCACAAACAAACACATCTAAGACACCACCATTCCGATTTCCGAAGGTATAAAAGGCGCAAGAGTGTTCGGCTGGTATTAAATTTCTACTGTAGCAGCTGGAAAACACTGTTTATGATAGAATTTTGTGAGAAAAAAACACTGCTCCGCCTGGAAAAAAAAGCCAGTCAGCCAGCCGAAGCCGGCCAGCCGAACAGGGAGGCGGAGGAACAGGATCCAGAATTTCAGAAAATAGTACTCGTAGCTCCCTACTACATGCCCCAACTATAATCCATTGTCGTCACTCGTCAGACAGCATGCAACTTGCTCAAGCAGCCTGGTAGGATAGATAAGCAACCAAAACCTTTCGCACTGTTACACTGCAATCAAAACTGTGCTGTTGTACATAATGACATATTTTATAAATTTTGGACAAGAGCTGCTACCCTTTTTTTCTCTGAAGGGGTGCATCTCAAGTGAACACAAAATCATTCAGGATCCAACAAAACAGTCAAAGCTCACTGTACTTTCTTGCTAGGGATTCTGCTTTGTGCTCGCTGCCAGCAGTCACAATATAACCAGCTCCAACCTGAAAAATGGGAGATTGAAGAAATAAATATGAATTTAAGCTTTGCTCCATTTCAGTTAACAAACTGGTAAGCAGCTGCACTCCACATGATAAGACCATCACTGGGCAACTAAGGAGCTCCACTCCTGATCAAGATTAAATCACTATAGACCTTGACAGTCCAAAAAACAAACTTTTGGCCACTAATGATTATTTTTCTATTAAATAAACCTAGGAAGGCTATGACACAATGGAAGATATTGCTGGCCAATTCTGCTACAGGGAGTACAGAAGAGAGTACCTGGCAATCTTTCAGAACAGCCCGTTCTTGCAGTTGAACATTATTACATACAACAGAACCTTGGATGTGGCAACCATCTTCAATAACAACGTGATTCATCACAACAGAGTTGACAATCTGCAGCAAGGGTGGAAATGATTTCTTTCATGAGAAGGAAACAAAGAAGCTTTAAACCAGAATGGAACTTAAATCTGGCATGGATATCTAAGGCCAAACAGTAATTCAATTAAGCATCAAGATATAACTGCAAGACAATCACAAAGGATACCTTACAGAGAGCAAACATCTATTACCACCTACCTAAAAAGCGTGAGGAGGTTTCATCCACAGCTATTTTGTGCGCCCGCACCCCAGGCTATGGAACCGAGACCGAACCCACGTCTGCGCTGTCTCCCCACGCCCGCCCCTCATGCCCCCAGGCCGTACGGTGCATGCCCTCATGCAATGCGATGCAGAGTCCAAACCCAGGCCGTTGCATGCCGTGTAAACAGCTGGTGCAATACGGAGCCGAGACATCATGCTGATGCCATATACCTTCTTTTTCCTTGGAAAATAAAAAACGTGAATACACTACCAATACTAGAAAGCAATACGCAGGAGCCGCCGCTCAACAAAGACGCAAGCCATAAGTGGCTTGCCCTGCTAGCAGTGGGATCCACTCAAACAAGAAAGGAGCATTTGCAAATGCTTTTGTAAGCGTAATTAAATTAATTATTAAATGATTAAAACATTTACATGTATACTGCAGGAGTAAACGATAAGAGAAATTATTATTGGTTTTTTTTTTTAGGTTTTTGGAGAACTTATGTGATGCTTGGGTTTCCAGAGCACACCAAAGATGTCATGACAGATGAAGGTCTTTTGATTTAGTTTTTGACTTTTAAGAAAATTAAATGATAATAAAGATCAGGGAATGTGCTTTGTATTTTCTATGTCTAAGCCACAGGCCAAGTGCGTTGCTGTCGACGTGGACAAAAGTTTGTGACCCGGTGCAACGCACGGGCACATATCTAGTATATTATCAATTGCATCTTGCTAGTTAACAGAAAATCTTTGAAAGGTTTATGAACATTGATTCCTTTTCCAAGGAATACAGCATGATGGCGAAGAATAGTAGTATAGAAATATGGATACCCATGCCTCTGCAGGGAAGGATATATTAAGGAACGCTCTGAAGCCTAAGCAAGCTAGATCTAAAAGAACACTACTGGTTACAAATACAACCAGTTTCTGTGCCCTGTAATGCACACCCAACATGCCAATTCCTAGTTTTGCTACATAAGCCAGCAAGTACAGCTTTTTAGCATGATATCAAGGTAGTAACTTTTTTTACCGAGAGCATACAAAAATCATTAAAATGGAATAGCAAGTCATACTGGAATTACCTTTACATTGGAACCAATTCGGCAATGACGACCAATCACGGATCGCTTCACACTACACTTGTCACCTAGCTGTGAACCCTCAGCAAGAATACAATGTGGTCCTATCTAAACAAACATAAAATACAACACAATAAGCCAAAATAGAAATTGTAACCATTTCAAACATCAAACATCATGCAGAATTGGATAAAAAAAAATCTCATTATTAATGTACCAAAAGCACTTTTCCTCTGAAGTCAAATAGATAATCAAGACATGCAACCAAACATTGTAAAGTTTGATCATTGGCATGCATTAAAAAAGTCTTAGATTTGTCACATGAAAAACCATTATTAATCTCTCAATAAAAGTACTTTCATGTCATGATCCCTCTTTAAATGCTTGCCAACGTGGCAAAGTAATCACAATTTTAACTGAAGCATACTGATATTGAAAACCCACAAATGAAAGATCAACATTATCTTAAAGCAAACAAATCAATATTTTTATATATATACGCAACATGGTAGCAGCTAACATAATCACATCCTAAATTCATTTCACGATATGTTCTCTGTATTTTCAGGCGACCATCTCATGATGCTAGATTGCTAGTACTTCAGCAGACTTACTGTAGTCTTTGATCCAAGAACAGAGGATGGGTGGATGATATTGTTTTGTGTGGAGAACGAATAACCAGACAGGTGGCTAGCTTCCCCTATAACCTGCAATACAAAATAATAATAACTTAATCATGATTCGATAGTGGTGCATGTGACAAAATAATTCCCTGTAGAATGAAATCCTTACATCTCGATTGATATCACAATATGATTGAATTGAGTTCAAGCGGTGACAGTATTTGCTTTTAGTAGCAATATAAGCACAGCACCTATGTCCACCACTTGATCTTGATAGTACGTTCTGTTTGAAAGCAGATGATGCAATGACACGATGCTGCGACAAACACTGCAAATTACCACTGGACTGAACAGCACTGCTCCCAGTTTCGTCAACTGCTGTTCCACTGCCACCTGATGGAGCTGATCTCTGTTCATGTTTACAACAGTTAAATACTGCTTCAGATGAAAGTGTTACATGTTTACATGTTATTAAGCATGAGCATACCAATTGACTCCTAACTAAATACGGGAGGACTTCAAGTCTAATGCTACGGTATGCTTCCTTATGTTCCAGTACGTCCTGTAATATTGTCCTGTGACCAGCAGTAAATTATGGCTTGAGTGTGAGCATATTTAAAAGAATGACCCAACAAGACATAATAAAAGGTTTAAAAAAAAGACTAACCTCTTAAAAGCATAAAGATGTGCATCCATTAGGTCACTTCGAATTTCCATCTAACAAAAGAAGGATATCATATTTAGTTTAATTTATAGTTCATCAAATCAATCAAACTGAGTGCTTTTCTGAATTTAAATTAAACCAAATCATTACAGACCGATTAACATGACTGTTATTAATTCACATTAAAATTTTATATGAACATCCAACAAAAATGCAATTATTAAGTGTCTAAGTACCGTATATCGCAACTAAGTTATCAAGGGACTGAGACCATCTTAAAAGGAAAAAAGAACTTGACCACAGGGAGAAGACTTCACCCTGGCTTCGCCTTTAAGGAGTGCCCAACCATGGCTGGCTAGAAAACTCGCAGAAACCAGTTCTCAGGAGAGCTGGCTGGCAAGTGGCGAGCCTCTCTACTGGAGGTTCTACCAATTGAGCTATCATTCAGTTCCCAGAACAGATCGTCCATAAAGGGACGATAAGTTTCTTCACTTGCTTTCTTAGAAGAGTATGACTCCTATATTACCAGTTGTTGTGTTACTTGTAAACAAATAATGTGGTGTACACAGACAACAAAGAAAGAATGAATAAGATTTTACAGACTTCTGACAGCTAAGTTGTGCTTTTGTGAAGTTTGAGGTTATATCAGATTGCCCCATCAATCAATAAAATTTCACAGACTCAATACTTTTCATCAAGTAATGTGTCCATAGCTAAGGTACTAAAGTTTTAGCCCAAAATGAGCATGTTTTGCGATACCAACCCACAACTTTGTTAAAAGGAGGTTTTAGAAAATCAAAAAACAAAGGGTGAATTAAGCTTTGAAATACATTTATATTTGGTAACATCCTATACCAGTGCCCATGATGAAGGCGATACAGGAGCAAAAAGAACCAAAATAAAATAAAATAAAATACCTCACTTCAAATGCCAAATCATTGGATTCTGTACATTATTGACTTCCAAGACCTGCTAACCGTAACATAAGACAGAACGGCCGAAAACAAAGTAACAAGATTACTCCATGCACCCCTAAGATAATCATATTCCAAAAAATAAAGGAATACCCAAACTCCAAAGGACGACCATACCAGATACTGTTCAATGTCATAATCCAACAACCCAGCAATATTAACATGATTAAAAGGCCAGTATATATATGAAATAGAGAAGACAAATAGTAAGGAGATGTGTTTTATAATTTATATAGGAGAACATTGTTGAAAGCTGAAATAGACTTTGTGAAAGTTTCCATTTTTCCGATGCTTCCAATGGAAATGAAGAGGTGTGAGTTATTAATTATTACTTATCAGATTTGTGCAACTCATCATGATTTGTGCTTGACAGTCAGTATAAACAGCAGCTACTTTGAGTCTGTAAAGCTAGCTTATTACTGTGTGAACATCGAATTATTCTAGTGACAGGTATAGTACCATATCAATAGCAATATAGCACAAGATTTTTCCCGTGTTACAAATACTCCACAGTTGCCATGCCTAAGGGGTGTTTAGATCTCAGGGCTAAAAATTAGTCATCGTACGATAATAGGCTAAATGTGAACTAATTTTTCTAATGGCCTCTAACGGTCTAACCATCAACTAAAAAAAAAGGGCGTACCCAGTGCAGAGAGCTCCCGCTCTGTGCGGGGTCTGGGGAAGGGTGTCAGTAGCAAGCCTTACCCTCGCCTGTGCAATGTGAGGAGACCGCGACTCGAACCCGGGACCTTCCGGTCACAGGCGGTAAGACTCTACCGCTTGCACCAGGCCCGCCCTTCTCTAACCATCAACTAATCGTCATTAATTTTTTCAGTCTATGTTTAGTCCTATTTGGCATCTAAAACCCAGGATTAGTTTTTACTCCTGAGATCCAAACACCCCTCCGAGTGACTATGACAAGAACCCAATCTTCCAGCAATACTCCTATATCTTAAATTCTTAATATAGATGGCTGCCCATGGGCCACTGATTTGTCTATCTAAATCACTGCACAGACAATCCAGTTGCAAAAACTTGAGATTGACACAACCTAGCATTGGCCTGTTTGTTTTTCAAGAATCATGATGCGTAACAATGTCACCATAAGTATAGCATAGCACTGAAACTCGAAATTCCTCAAAAACAAATGTAGCTGAGGTGATACATAGAATAGGTGCCTTACCCGACCAACAACCTGTATTTTTCTTTTATGAACTTGAACATCTTTTTCAACATCAGTTCCTACAGGTGACATTGAAAGATATGAGAATCATGCATGCATGACATTACTAGCCTTCTATTACACTTAATGAAATCACAGTAAGCAAACCTGACACGATATGCAACAAGAATTGTTTACTCCTGTCCAGCCCTACTACGTTCAAACGATTTGGCTTTTTAGCTTTATCTTTCCCACTAGAAGAAGCAGTGTCTGAAGGACCACTAACAGGAACAGAACATAGTAAAGCAGTAACAGCTGCACCATTTCTTCTATGAGTAGCAGCAACAGCTCCAGGCAACACATCTGTTACCAGGTCACCGCTAACTACCTATTCAAACACAGCTCAATGTGTTAGAATCGTGCAACATTTTGTCAACATTGCCATAGTATGAAAGAACAAACATTACCAAAATATCATTTGCCGTCAGTCGCTTCGAAATAGCTCGTAATGCACCAGCACTTCCAAGGTCTTCAGAAACCACAACTACCTGAATACAAACAAGAGTTACTTCCACAAATAAAATGAAAATATGTTCCCCTACAGTCACTCAAATGTTTGTCAATGAGATTGAGCTTATAGCATAACATAAATAAACAAATGCCAATCAAAGAAAACAAAGAATTAGGAGAGAACCTTATAAAAACAAGAATGAACTCAAGAAGTTGAAGTTACTTTACTAGAAATAGAATCATATATTATACTGACTTTATATATGATATAACATGAACAGAAACATCCATGGGCTTAATGATTAGCATTGATAAAAAAAGGAAATAAGTTAGAACAAAGACATGCTCACAAGATATTTAAATTTTAGTGGAGTTATGTTTGGATTGACATATAGTCTCACGCCATCAAAGAAAGTGTTGAAAAATCAACAAAGATTACATTCAAGCATTGGTAGAAAAATATAAATCTTGTAAGATTCAAACTAGTAGCCAGCTTAATTCCAACTTTAAACACAAGAAAGAGCAACAATGGGAGAGCACAGTGAGAGTACACTCTTGTTTGAATAACAATTAACAAATGAACAACATGAAATGGTACTGAGATATGGAGGGAACATACTTGAAATCAAATTTTCATTTAGAACTAAAGAATTCGCTTATGTTATGCTACATTCATAAATCATAAATAAATCAACATCCATGTTGTAGAAGGCATTCGATTCAAAACTTGGGGAGCGATTGGCTGCTGCCTATTGCCTCATCTCCACTTAGGTGGCTAACTAGCATGGAAGGAAGTTGTAGCAAAAAAGGATAGGAGCTCGCTCAAAAAGGACAGTAGGGGAGGCCAAACAACACCTAAGTCGCAGGCTCTCCAACGCTGATTAGTGTTATGTGGCCAGTTGGGATGGAGACGAGAGGGCGTGCTACTGTTCACGGCGGCGGCGGCTAGGGCTGCAAGGGCGCTGGGGGAGGCCGGCCGCGGGGCTTCGCCCACAGCCGGCAAGAGAGAAGGGATTTCCTTCTAATCTCTTGCTTGATTAGATTGATACATCTCCTCTCATTATATAGAGAGGTCTGACTTGGCCCCTAAGCAAGCGACTAATTAACCCTAATGGGCTAGGGCCCAATAGGCCCTTGACTCCTCTAACAATTAGCCTTCAATAGTCGTAAATATCAGCACCTCAACAACACAGACAAACAGGTATCAGGTATGCTAGCATATCCACGCTTCAAGACCAGTTTGTTTAAATGAAATTCCACTCACAACACATGAGAAAAATTTTCCACAAAAAACCATATAGAGTCCCAATGACAATGCAGGGATGAGGTAACCTGCCTCCATAGACAGCCTACCATAACAAATGCTAGTAGATGGGTGCCTAGTCAAACTAACTCAAAATCCACATGAAAAATAATCTAATCTATCTAAGAACTAAAACATTCACCTAATACCTAGTTCTAAAGGCTTGATTGGTTTTGCCATGAAAATGTATCCAACTAATTTATCTTCATGCATCCTTAGAACAAATTTATATGCTTGTTTCTAGGATCTTCTCCAATTACATACTCTTAGCACTAACACAAAGGCAATACCCAAGTAACCAAGCATTGGGCGTTGCAATCAAAGACACGGAATCAGAAGCAAACTCACCTCCACTCGAAGCCGATCCAGGTATGCACTGGATACCCAAGCGTCGACAAGCTGCGCAGCTTCCTGCCCCTCAACCACCTGCACCACACCACATCAGCCAAACAATATCCTGCTCGTGGCTTGGGAAGTTGGGACCACAGCCGTGACAGGAGGAAGAGAAGCAGAAGAGCGAGGAGCTCACCACGATGAGGTCCTTGAGGTCGCTGGCCTCAAGGAGGTCCAGCGCGTAAGAGAGCACGGGGCGGTTGGCGACCGGGAGCAACGCCTTGGGAACGTCCTGCTCAGTGAAGAGGAGGAAGCTTAGGTACAGGTTAAGACGCGAGACTAACAGGGATGAGGTGAGGTGAGGTGAGGTGAGGTGGGAAAAAGGAGAAAGGGGGATACCACCTTGGAAACGAGGGGCGAGAGTTTCTCGGAGTCGGAGGTGCCGCCGGCGAGGACGACGACCTGGAAGTCCATCTCCGACGAAATTGCGGCGGTTGAGGGGGTCACCGGCTCGTTGGACAGCCCCTTGACGCCGCCTCTCGACTTACTACTAGTGCTAGCGTTAGGGGCGGGAACCGGGGAGGAGAGGATGAGGCGGCGAAGGAGGACAGCAAGACGGAGTCGTGCACGGTGGCGGCCTGGCAGGCGGCGGCGAGCGTCTCAAGCGTCGGCCGTGGCGGCGCCGATGCCCGATGGGGAGTGGGAAACTGGAGGCTTAGGGCTGCAATTGCCAAACTGGGCCTTTCCCTTATCGTCGGGCCGGGCTTTCGTACTGTGCAACGAACTGGGCCATTGGGGCTACGTTGTACTCCGTAACAGAATATATCGAGAGACATGCGCGAGAGTTTTACAGGAAGTAAAAAAATTGTAATGCTTTTTTTTAGAAATAGTGTGATATCAGCAAGTTAGCACCAATCGTAAAAAATGTGGAATTATGAACATTTTCATTAAGACCCCGTTTAGATCATTAGAATTAAATTTCTTCTAATAATCATAATTTAGATATATATTAATATCAAATTCAAAGCCAAATAGCCTAATATAAAAGAATAAGTTTGAGTTGAAGAGGAAAGGGAAGCCTGAGCGGTTCACGCCTCCCGTCCAACCAATTTGATCCAATAAGCTCTTAAAGGCCTTTAGCAACGAAGGATTTGGTATTGTCATTACATACCAGGAAGCAGCGATGTCCGTGTATCAAAATGGTCTAAAAAAAAGTTAAATATACCATAGGTTCATTAAAGGTGATGTATCATCCAGGTCCATCAATTTTTAAACTGTATTTCAAGGTCCATTAATTTTTGTGGTGTGTCATCCAGGTCCATCAACTTTCAAATTGTATTTTTGGGTCAATTAACTTTTGATGGTGTGTCAACCAGGTCCATCAACTTTTAAATTATATTTTTGGGTCCATAAACTTTTTAACTGGTTCACTGTAGATCCATACCCCTTCGTTTAGTAAATAGATCTGACGTGGAACGCCAAAAAAGCAGCCACCATAGAGTACGGTACGAGATCACCATCCGGAGATAATCTTCAATACGAAGAACCCGATGGGATCACCATCTAGAGTTTCTCGAGCGACGGCTCAACGGGGAATAAACTCCACAATAAAATCCAATCTAATCTACCCGGTACAAGGTCGGAGGCCATAGGAATAGGCACACAGACACAAACAAAACTTGGACTCCACCAGCCCAACTAGGACCGATTGACCCTAAGTCTTTGATTCGGCTAACATGCATGGTACGTCCAAACGCAGCCATCAATTTGATTCACGTACATAGGTGCACGCAGGCACTAAAAGCTATATGCTAGATAAAAGATCGTGTATCACAACTAGATAGAAAACTAATGCATGGAAATAATAAAATACTACGGCAATGATGCTAATCACGTTGAGAAAATTCGATTGATGATCTCAACCTCTTTAGAATTAGTACTGATGTATTTTGTTAGCTTCATTTTCTCCTCATTTCCACGCAACAATAAGGCACCTCTATAAAATATCTTTGATGATAGTCCAACAATTGTAAATTTCTCCATGTCCACAATATATTTATCTTTAAAAATAATAGTCCCAATTTTAAGACCAGAGGATATTAACGAATTATAAGCTGCTACATTTGAATTATTGCTAGACAAGTCTCCATGAACATTTTGATGAGCTATGGACTCATCACCTACTCCACGGTGGCTGCTTATTTAGCGTGCCATATCAGATCTATTCGTTAAACGAAGGAGTATGGACCTATGGTGAACCAGTTAAAAAGTTTAGGGAACCAAAAATATAATTTAAAAGTTGATAGACCTCGATGACACACCACCAAAAGTTAATGGACCCAAAAATACAATTTAAAAGTTGATGGACATGGATGATACACCACCAAAAGTTAATGGACCTAAAAATACAGTTTGAAAGTTGATTGATCTAAATGACACACCACGAAAAGTTAATAGAGCTACGATACATTTATCTCTCTAAAAAATTATGGGAAAGACTAGCGTCCGGATGCTAGGACGTCTAGACGCGGCGTCTATCCAGACACACGCGCCTGCTGCACACCCACGCGTATGCATGCAGCTCCTGCCCGCCCACACAAACACTGCTGTTGCGCCTGGCCCCATGCTGCTGCTGCCTCACCTGCCCGTGCGCTACTGCTGCTGTAGTACGCATGCGCCTGCGCATGCACGTGGGGGCCGGCGCGCCCGCTTCGCTTCCCACACGCGCGCGGGGACCGCTGCGCCCGAGGGGACCACCTCCGTCCACGCCCACTTCTCGCGCCTGGTCATGGAACACTTGGAACATAAAGCATTTGCTGCAACATACGTCCCAAACAGATGAAACATTTACAACATACACTTGCAACATATGTGTATGACCACTACAACATATGCAAACATCCAGATAAAACAGTTGCAACATATATTTGAAACAGCTGAAACATTTGAAACATATGTGTATAGCCAGTGCAACATATGCAACATCCAGATAAAAAACACTTGCAACATATGTTTGAAACAGCTTAAATATTTAAAACATACACTTGCAACATACGTGTATAGCCACAACATATGCAACACCAAATCTACTTTTGCAACATCCAGATAAAACATATGCAACATACATATGAAACACCCAATGAAGGCTTGTTGACGCGGAGCTCGACACCGGCGCGGAGCTCAAGGTCGCCCACGGTTGACAGCAGATGGATCGCGGGCGCGGCATGTGGCGCGAGGCGCGGGAGAGCAGCAGTGCGAGGCGCAAGGTGCGGGCGGGGGCGCGAGGCACGGGGGAGGGTGCACGGCGTGAGGCATGAGGTGTGGGGGCAGACAAGTCGGTCCCGTCCGAAAAAAGATGAACGCCCTAAAGGTATCATTATCGAAAAACTATACGTTGTTTCATTTTTCCACACATCTCAACATAACATAGGGAAATAGACCACGGAATGCAAAATGACAGTAATTTGATATCAGCACGGGCATACAGCTAGAACTGAGGAAGAGTTAAAAAATATCTAATATGAAACATTGCTCAAATTATGTTATGTTTAGTCTCACATTAGAAGCTGATGTTTTTTTAGAATAATAGAAGCTAACTCCGCCTATGTTGTCTAAACATAGCAGGTCCCAAGCCCTGGTAAAGGAGAAGGGTTGTGATAGACGTGGTGAGCCAACGTTAAATCAAGCCATTCTAATGGAGATGAAACCCGAAAGAAAACCGTTGGGGTGTAACCCTCTTAGCGACGCGCCATATCAGAACCCGGGTATGGTGTTAAATGAGTAAGGGCCGGGTCATCACCCCCGTGACGCGCCGTGTCACGATCTGGGCATGGTGTCAAGTGAGCAAGGATCGGGTCGTCGCATCCTTAGTGGCGCGCTACATCGGCGCCCGGGTGTAGTGAAAAATGAGCAAGGGTCTTCACATCTGAGTCAACGGGTGCGAAGGGTAAGGAAGCTAGTCGAACCAACTAGGATCCATTTAGGTAGTTGGAATGTAGGGTCGCTTACAGGTAAGTTAAGAGAATTAGTTGACACCACGACTAGGAGGCTGAAGGGTCGAGATGGCGGACTAGAGGGGGGGTGAATAGTCTTTTCTAAAATTAACCGCGTCGGCTAACCGATATAAATGCGGAATTAAAACAATCGGTCTAGCCAAGACTACACCCCTCTATATATGTTCACTAGCACCTTGCAAAAATACTAATAAAGCAACTAAGGTGCCGGGCTAGCTAGAGCTCTCCTAAACAATTCTAGGAGCAAGGTCACACAAACCTATGCCACTAGTACTTTAAGTAACAAGGGAGCTCCTACACATGCTAGTAAGCAAAAGCACAAAGATAACTAAGCTCACTAGCAATACTCAATAATAAGGCAACCAACGCCTAATTAGAGAGCGCAAATACTTAGCTACACAAACTAAGCAATGTGACTAACAAGGTTACTAAAACCAAATTAGCCACGCAAGGGAGCTACTTCTATGCTACACAAGCAAGAAGGTAATTAGCTAGCTACACAAGCTATCTAATTACAAGAGCAACTACAAAAGCTTAAGATATATATATAAGTAATTGCAAGCTTGTGTAATGGGGATGCAAACCAACGGGAAGAACAAGGTTGACACGATGATTTTTCTTCGAGGTTCACGTGTTTGCCAACACGCTAGTCCCGTTTGTTCACTTGAATAATTAGCATCAGCTAAACGTCGGGCACCGCAAGAACCTACCCCTTGAGTGAGGGTAGCTCAATGACACGCTTTACTAAAGTTGCTCTTCGTGACTTCTGCTGGGCGAGCACAAGTACCCTCACAAGCACTTCTCCGGAGTGCCGCACAAGCTTCTTGCGGGCTTCGACGGAGACCACCACCAAGCCGCCTAGGAGGTGGCAACCTCCAAGAGTAACAAGCACCACCGGTGCAACACGACCACCTAGTGCCACTCGATGCAACCTCACGATGCAATCGCACTAGAATTCACTCACACAATCGAATGATCACTATCAAGTATCCCGTCCGGTCACAACCTGCGTCCATCATCGAAACACTGCCGCGTGTCCGGCAGTTTAGATCCAGGCGTCCGGTCATTGACCGACGCCAAAGATCTTCACGACTAACTCGTTTTCACTTCTAACTTCATCACCCTTGCTCCAATGTGCTAACCACAAGGGCGCAATAGAAAATAGGCATTCTATTTTTCCGAAATGAATCCCCGAGCTTAGGAGGCGGAGGAGAGAGGGACCCAAACCCATCTCACCCCTACAAACACCACCTCCTTTGTAAATGTGCCAACACCACCAAGTGTACACCACCATGTGTATATGTGTTAGCATTTTCATAATCATTTCCCAAAGGATGTTAGCCACTCAACTTGCCACGCCACTCGATCCTAGCGACAATGCAAAGTTAGATCACTCGAGTGGCACTAGATGACCGATATGCAAACAAGTTTGCCCCTCTTGATAGTACGGCCATCTATCCT